AGCTTTAAAACAGAAACTGCAGAATCAGAGATACTGTTTTGTTCTGATCTGGCATTTTTTCTCCCCATTATGTGGTGAATCAGTATCCAAAAGTCTTGTAGCACATATGCTCTGTATTCATAAGATGTGTCTATATACTTTTCCCCGTGTAAAGCAGAACAAACCCCAGTATTTTTACAATGAAATGTGAAATAATCTGTTAAATGCTATTCTTGAAGTCTTTGGCTAAGCTTTCAAATGACTGATATGAAAATTCTTGTCTATACATCTTTACCCTTTGAAAGTCATGGCTTCATATTAGAAGCAATGACATCTTTTTGCCCTGAGCTTTCTTAGGTTTTCCCTGAGAACAAACCAGCAAGAACTATAGGTCTGGCTTTGTAGACTTGGGGTTTTAGTCTAAGTTGCTACTGCCACTAAAAGTGGTGTTCCTGCTCTGGTAGCATGTCCAGTTCACAGTTATTTTATTGAATTGCTTCTCTGGGCTACCTTTTAGTAACAATATTCTTTGATTTATACTAGCTTAATCTGTCCATGGAACTAGAGTATAGGGTATGAACATATATCTTATCAGCTAGCTGCATGCACTATACCTACTGCAAATGTGAGGTCACTGAAAGATATTTTTTTCACTGAAATCTAAACCACTTTGTTTACTGTAGCAGAGTATGCAAATGGATTGGCTTGAAGGAATTGCCATGCAATTTGATTTTCTCAGAGTTGACTGGTTTCTTATTACCTTAGGATTTCACGTTTCCTTGAGTTTGTGAGTTAGAGAAGTTTCAAGGCAAAGAAAGAAGTGATTAATTTGGATTGCCACTTTCTTTTAGTCCGGAAACAGTTGCAATCTAAATCTATTCATCAGAATATTTATGTTAACATTGAACAGTTAATACTAATATACACAAATACAGATTATTCTTGGCAGCTGTGATTATGATTATATGATTAGACATGTTGTAGTTTCTACTGTTGTACACCTAGAACACCTGGTGGATCAAAAAGATACAAAATATCTTGAATTGTGGAATATGTTTGGTTCAGCAACTTTTTTTTTTTTTAATCTAAAAGTACCTTCTTTTAATACTTACTAGGTGTGTCTTTCCAGCTGTGCCAGTGTTGTCTGGTACTGTGGTGGTTTCACAGCCATTGCTACGAAGCTTGCTTGCAGTTTGCACTTTCCTTTCTTACTCTGTACAGTTAATGAATGTTGGTATTAATAGGATGCTAACTTTTTACTTAAAAAAAAGAACAAAAGTGTATTCATGTATGTGTATATGGGTATTTTAAATCTACAGAGCTGAACAGCATCAGGTCTGTAACCCTGTCTAAAAATAGTTTGCTCATGCAGTTTGAGGTTTGTTCAGTTGCATTTTGTCGAAACTCATCTCATAATCATCAGGAATTAATAAGTTTTTTTTTCTGTAGTGTTATAACAAATATTTCCACTTTTTTTGTTCGTTTGTGTTTTATTTCTTTTTTAAAATCTGTTTCTTCTTATATTTCAAATTTTTGGTTCTGGTTTAATTTGAAGAACTACTTTTTAGCCACTCAGTTTTCCAAGGAGAAGAAGTGGTACCAATAGTGACACACTCTACAATCTCCGTCTTTATCAGATTTTATAATGGCTGCTATGAATTTTTCATTCATGTTTCTAATAAAATAAAACTAGGTACTTAAGTATATATGATTCTTTTTGGATTTAAAATCGGTAGTGTGGTCTTTTGTTCTTTTTTTTTCTTTCTTTTTTTTTTTTTTTTTCTGCAGGGGGAGCAAAAGTGGAAAGAGCAAAGGAGAGATTGTTATGGCTTTTGGATTTGGAGAACAGTTTTGGAGCACAGAATTGGAAAGTAGTTTCTTAGTGAACATAATACACAGTTTATTAAAATGGTTTTGGAAGTGCACAATAGTATCATCCATAAGAGTATTTACTGTCACAAGTCTTCTGGAAGAGAATAAAAATACTCTGATACCTTTTGAATTTTAATTGCACATGTGTTTTGATGACTAATAACAATTAATGCCATTTCTTGTATTGCAGATGGCTGGAATCCATTCTCTCATCCCTATAAGAAAACAGAGTATGGCAAATGGGAGTTGTTTATCCCTCCTGGAGAAGATGGTTACCCTCCTGTGCCGCATGGATCAAAGCTAAAGGTGCTAGAAATACTTTCTCTTCCAAATTATTGTGGACATTCTTATTTTTCTTTCTCATTTTTTTTCTTAAATAATTTTAATTTTATTGTTACAACTGTGTTTACAGGAAGCAAAATTTCAATGATTTATCAATTTGTGCAAATGACTCCAATAAGTGAAATATTAACATCGAACATTTTCATGATGCTCAAGAACAGATAAATATGTGACTGAAAACTGGATATAGTCTTGTATCATGTTACAAGCTGAAAACAGTGTTTACAGGCAGATTATACTGTGGAAAGAACAAATAAGATTTAAGTAGCATGTATGTGAAGACTACTTGTATTTGACCCAACTACTTGAATTTAAGATTCTGTTCAAATTCAGATATGTTTATAATTTGTGTTGTTGTAGTTTAACCACTGCTTTTCAAGGATTTTTTGAGTTGTTATAAAATTTCTGTCAAACATTTAGGAAGTAAAAGCAGATTGAGCGGTTGGCTTAGATGTTAGTAGGTTAAACTAAATGAAGAAATAGAGGAGGAAATTTACTATAGTTTTAAGCATATTATGAATTGTTTCATGAGTATCTTTGTGGAAGAAAGAAGCTTTATACTCAATTTAATGGAAATTTCTTTGAGCTGTCAGATACCACAATTGTTATGCCTAATGCAAACATATATAATGACAACTAACTACTAGTAGAATTGGTATTTTTAGGTAAATTCCAGTCATTGAGGTACATTTTTGAGAATTGGGCTTATTGTAGTCAGAGCTTCAGGTCCAAACTTAATAGAACATAATAGCAGGCAGAAATGAGTAACTAAGAAAGTAAATGTACTGGAGTCATTTAAAGGTTAGGAAAAGAAATAATAAAAAAGGAACACTTTTAATAAAGTTGTTATGCTTTCATGGCTCCTATTAAAAGAACTAATAAACTAAACAAAACAAAACATTCTTTTGTGCTGAAAATCAGAACTTAGGAAAATAAGAAGTCCTTTGAAACATTCATAAAAATCCAATGGAAATGAATACTCAAAATTGATTTATTTTCTTATTTCTCCTTGCAGACCTGTCTTTAATTGCAACTCTATAAAACTTGTTCTAAGTAAAGATACATGTAGTTTTCCTGAGACTCACAGTTCATGGGATCACCAAACACATCCGTAAACCTGGACAGTTATTCTCTGTGCTGATGAGATTGGTTGCTTTTTAGTGCTGTTTGTTTTTGTGCAGAGATTTAGAAACTTGATTCACAAGTAATCATAATACATAATTATAATAATTGATTAAACAGATGATCAAAATGGACTTCACTTATATGCAACTCCTTCCAGCCTCACCTGTTGCTAACAGCCTTTCATGATGCTGTGTGTTTTGTTACTTGGTGCCTATGTACCTTAACATAACAAACTATCTTCTTTTAATACCATATTCCATAGTATTAAAAAACTATGTTATTTTAATATACTTATTTTACTTTAGTTGTAAACTAAAATACTTTTAGTATTAGTACTTACTTTTATTTGTAATTTATAAGTGAAATAATTCTAAAATGGTTCATCTATCACAAAACCCCAAATAAGATTAGTATATTTAACACAATAAAAACATACTTAATCTTCATCTTAATACTCCATGAAGAACCTGAGAATTTGGATGTAAACAGAAATTACTATGCTGATCACCGATTTATTTGAGTAGATATACACTGTTGTCATAGAATCATAATTTTTAAAGTTTATTTTTGCCACTATAGTTCTTAAATGTTTAAGCTGAACTAATCAGCTCTAGACACTTTAGTGGCTTGATTGATTGGTGAGAAGAAAAAGAAGGCACCTCAGGAAGGTCCTTGTCATTAGCTTCTGTCTTCAATATTTTCATCTTCTGTTACGCAAACGCAAATGCTGAGTTCTGAAATAATGACAAGGTCACTTATTTAAAATAAGTAATTTCTAAGCCAGAATGGAGAATGCATGGAGTGTAGATGGTGACACGAATTTAGATGAGGTCACAAAATATTTTCATAGGAAAATGAGTGAGGAACAGAGGTCACAAACTTATCTCCTTTTTGATAGCAGTGACTGTAGAGTCTACTGTAGCTCTTCAGACAGTCCTTCTCATAACTAAGCATAGACATGGAAGAAGATGAGTAATTAAAAACACCATTATAGATATTTTGAGACATTTCTGTGTCAAGGAATGAGTGCTTCTAACACAGCTGAGACAGATTCCCTTGTGAATCGTGATATTCATTTACAAAATAAAATGACCTGATGGAGAAAGACTTTTTTTTTTCTCCCCCCTCCTTTGGCAATACCAAGTTGAGGATTAGTGAAGAGCATAGTCATTTGGTGAACAAATAGGCTTTTGTTACTTCTGATGGAAATGTTGTAAGTGAAGCACAGTTTAAAAAGAAAAATGTGGCCTTAAAACAGTGAAGTGAGGGGATAATCCTCTCTGTGCTTTTAATAAACTGAACCACTGTTTACTTCTTTCTCCTAGCAGAGTTGAGGGTTGTTTTGTTTGTTTTACAGTGGTATGTTTGTCCCCCACAGTGGTGGTATTTGGGGAATGAGTGTGCTCATCTTTTTGTAGATGACAATGATTTTTTTCTTTAATTTTCTGAGTATTCTTAATCTCTTATAATAGAATATGGTAAGCTTTTACAAAAATTCAGATGGATGGACTTCCTTAGCAAGTGTCATCACATGCTGTCATGTACACGCAGGAGTTTATTAATGACATCTCCAATTTCTGTTTACTGCTTATTTATAAATAATTCAATTGCTATAAATGATCTGTAAACAGTTTTTCACTGTAGCTCATAAGATCCTAATTTGAGATGTATGAATAAGTATTGCTTAGTTTAGGAAGCCTTGCTTAAGGATGGTGATAGTACTGATAAAAATTGAAGTATTTCTTTATCTGTAGTGGGAAACTTGTTTAACTTCGTCATAGAAATAGTCTTCCGTGAGGACCAAACTAAAAAAATGAAGAGCATATGGAAAACAGCAGCTAGTAAGAAGTTAAGTATACAAGAAAAAAAAAATCATGACTGCTGATCAAATGATTAAATATTTTGTTACAAACTATTAAGAAATTGTTTTCTGTTCAATGCTGTAGGACGGAAGGCAGTTCAGAATACTAATTGCCGATATTTTAGAAGAACTGACTCTTCTGTCAGAGAGAATCTCTGAAGAGATCTAAATATCAGAATCACTAAGTCATCTTCAGTGAATCAGAAAGGATTTTACTAAAATAGTATTAATTATTCAGCTTTTTAGTAATGACAATAGAGCTGTGATTTCTGGAATGACTTGATGGAACAAGAGTTTTATATATTAGCAATAAATTTATCTGATGTTTTTTCTGGCAGTATGCTAGCTAGGTGCATGACATTAAAATACTCTATACATCTAAATCTTATCTGTACACTCATTATATTTAATTCAATGCAAGTGTTTCAGGATTATGCTTCTCCTGAGATACAAATGTAAGAGTGAGAACATTTAGGATGCAGTAATCGTGATAAGTGCCTAAAATTTGTACTCCCACAATCTTTGGGGGAGGATAGTTGGTGAATTGTAAAGAATGTTATCTGAGGTTCATCTTCACAATTTTTATTTATGTAGTCCATTATTCCTAGTAGATTCATGTTTGACTTATAAAACTCGAAAGGGAATGGGCTATACTTAGCAAGTAGGCTAGTGGTGGGGAATCATTTTTAGTAGGTTGATTGAGGGTAGTTTCTGTTGAAGCAGATGGTGATGCAAATGACCTTGCTGATTAGGAGGTACAGTATGACTATACTGGACTGCTTTCAATTTTCCTATTTCTTCCTCCGTGTTGATGGGATGGGGGACAGAAATGTACTTGCTCAAGTCTATAAAGTTCCAAGTAATTTAAATTGCATGTCTTAAATGATTGCTAGGGAGGGAAAAAATGTCACTGAATGAGCAAATTTGGCTGTTGAATGAGTCAAATGTCTGCAGCATGACAGTATATAATGATCTGTGTTGGTAGGTCTATGGTGGAGGAAGGAGCAGGTGGGATTTTGCAGGCATCAGGGAACTAGACTTAAATCATCGTGAGATATACATTTTTTTGTCTTATAACTTTCTTAGACCTCTGCGGATCCAAATAGGAAATAAGCCATTAGTTAAATCTGGCATTGCCCTTTGCTTTGTTGTTTGCTTTCAAGCAGCGAAGGGTCCTGGGCCCTGAACAGGTTAGTTTAGGTTTTGGGGGGTGTTAATTTAATTTAGCTGGTTACACAAGGGTTAATTTAGCTGGTTACAGAAGGATTATGATCTCTGAGAGGCAAATAGTCTCCTGAGTTTGTTTACCAAAACCAAATAGGTTACGTGCAACTGCTCTTGGACTCACAGGAGAGGTTTTAGCAGCAGTGAAATACTGGAACCAAATGCCTGTAGCTCTTTGGGGTCTTTTTCGTAGACTGAGCCCAGAATTTCAGAATATTTTTGTTTAGTTCTTTTGGCAGGCTTAGTTCTCCTGACTTGATTGTGCAATTCTTGGCAGGTTTTACTATTTAAAAAACAATTTATCCATGCAGAAGACCCATTGTTTTAATTGGTATTAGCAGTACATAGAGAAAGAAGTTTTCTGGAGGAAAAGGGAGAGATTTCGAGAGAAAAGTGTCTTGAAATGGAACTTGAAGTCTGAGAGTCCATCTTTAGTCTATATAAACATATGTCGATAGGGACCACTGTTAGTTAAAACTTATAACATACTTGTCAGTTTAGGAGTCTATTTTTCAGCTCTACTTAAGTCTGTAGTTATTGATTTAGAGGGAAGGAAAAAAAAAAAAAAAAAAGGCCAACTTTGATATACCAAATCTTGGATGCCCAATTCTGGTGTTAATTGCCTATGTCTTTTCTATATGAATGGGAATTTAGGCGTGGGAGTATTGCCATGTGGAACTTGTACTGATTGATTGTACAACTAAGAGGGACTGTTCACAAGGAATACTTCTCGGAGGTGTTCTTATAAAGGAGT